ATAACTCTCCAAAAGAGAGTTATTTGTGCAAGAATTCATATAAATTAGCTAAGGATAGCATCACTAACACCCAATCTACACTGATTTTGTGCAAATAATGTTATAAATTCACTATCCTCCTTATTTCTTTATGATAATGCTGAGAGTTACGAAGAATGACCTAATTTTGAATGTTTTGCTACAGCATTGTTGACGCTGCAACATTAGAGTCGAAAAGGCAGAAAAAGAAGAGTTTACATTTACAGCTTTTACCCGAGAAATTACTACAACAAAACAGAAAAATACTTGATATTTTGAGCTGGGGCCCACTTTATCATTTGTGTTGCCCTAAAATCAAGAGGGGTAACCCTTGCAATTAGGCTTGCCTCCAACAACACTCACTTGAAGAAAGCTCCCAAGAAACCGTTGAAAAAAACACCAAAGAGAGAAAGGCTGCTACTATTCTTCATTTTCTTCTCCTTTTGTACTCTTAAGTGCACGGTTTTGTATTTTTTTCTTCTCTTTTCTTGTATGACACTGAGTAGCTAAGTTTATTTGTAAGGGGGAGGATGTTGTGAACTTGTACTTGGGCTATAAACTTTGCTTTGGCGTTTATGATGATATATATACTGAGTTGAAGTTGTTTTTAACGTTTTATTTTCAGTTTGCGTGGCCAACATATTGGAATATCTTCTTATTAACTCCTGGAAAATTGTAATAGGATGTGTTTGACTTCAACTTGTGCTATATCTACTTGAGTTTAGAGTGTGAATACTTAGGAATAAGACTCACCTAGCAAGGTTATAAACTGAGTATATATGCTTTCAAGTTTGTCTAAAAGCATGAATAGTAGAAAATCTGGAAATCTGGGAAGATTTCATGTTTGTTTGGCCAGTATATCAACATCGTTAATGCTGCAGTACTGTTAGAGTAGCCCAGAAAAAGTCACACAAACTCTTCCCCCTTACCCTTTTAAATATCAGTAATTAACTTATTGTTTGCATATTTTCCTTTAATCGATTTGGTTTTGCTTGGTTCTGACTTGTTTTTACTCAGCAAATCATATATGCACTATTTTGTTTGAGTTCTTTTAGTTTTTCTTGTTTAAAACATATTTTGTTAATTTGTTTATTTTCTTAAGTAACTGTTGAAGTGTTTAGTTATCAATCCATGTGGAGACGATCTTTTTATCACTTGCTACAATGGTTGTATACACTTGCACAAATGGTTCTAAACCGTAAACAAAAACAAGTTTTTGGCACCGTTGCCAAGGATTGATTCAACTTTACACTTTATATTTTTGCTTAAGAAAATATGTGCTAGAAAGATTTCTTTAACTACTGTTTGGTGGATCTTGAAGGTGGATGCACGATCTGCAAGGATTGGAATATTTGCTCGACAACGAGATATAACATACTTTTCATTGAAGGAGAAGAGCACAACGTAGACAGCAAGTAGAGGTTGGCCCTATGGATCAACTACCGAGAATACCTTACCATTGGTCATATCCAGAGCCTCAAGTGACAGAATTGGTCAATGAGCTGATAATGATAATTCAATGGCTTCACTGAAGGCTCAAAATTACCAACCTGACTAATATGGTCAAGAACATGAACAATGTTGCAACATCGTCAACTAGCCATGGAATCAACAATGTACTAGCCATCTCCTGTTCTTATTGTGAGGGATGGAGGCAGCACCCCACATTCAGTTGAGGAGGGAACCAAGGACAGCATGATGTCTCTCAATTTCAGCAAAAGACGATTCACCACCCTAGTCTTATAATGTCTAGTCAACAGCAGGAAGTGAAGCCAACAACAAGTGCCTCCAATTCTATGGAGAATCTAATGAGAGATTACATGGTGAAGAATGATGCAACACTCCAAAGCCAAACAGCTTCTCTAAGAAATTTGGAAGTCCAATTGGGGCAAATGGCGAATGAGTTGAAAAATAGGCCCATTGGTACTTTGCCTAATGACACTGAAAATCCCAAGAGATAGGGGAAAAAACAGTGTAAAGCTATAACTATAAGGTGTGGCAAGGCTTTACCCTAATTGCGAGCAGACAAAGCAGACTGTCATGTAGAGGAAACTGCAGAAAATGTGCTGGCTGTGATAATGGAGTGAACGATGCTGGAGCATCGCAGGAGCAGATTTTAGAATAAAAAATTCACATAGAGACAGAAGCTCAACCTCAACCTAAAATTAGCAAAGGAAAAATAGCAGCAGAAGCAGAATCATTGAAGGAAATAGAACCAGGGGAATATAGACCACCACCCTCTATCCTCAAAGGCAAAACCAAGATAATCAATTCAAGCAATTTTTGGATGTGTTGAAGCAACTCCACATCAATATATCCTTAGTTCAGGCTCTTGAGCAAATGCCTAACTATGCAAAATTTTTTAAGAATATCTGGATTAAGAAAATGAGGTTAGGAGAGTTCGAAACCATAGCTTCAACCAAGGAGTGCAGTGCAATTTTAACAGACAAGCTTCCACAGAAAATCTGGGATCCAGGGAGTTTTACTATTCCAATCTCTATGGGTGGAAAGAATGTGAGCCATGCTCTATGCAATTTGGGTGTAAGCATAAACCTCATCCCATTATCAGTATATCAGAGGTTGGGTATTGGTGAAGCAAGGCCCACTCGGTGACTTTACAGCTAGCTGACAGGTCAATCACTCACTTAGAGGACAAGATCGAAGATGTGTTAGTGCAGGTGGACAATTCATTTTCCCAGCTGATTTCATCATCCTCGATTATGAAGCAGACAATGAGATCCCAATAATTTTGGGGAGGCCTTTCCTATCTACTAGTAGAGCGCTAATAGATGTGCATAATGGAGAGCTTACCATGAGAGTGAACGATCAACAGGTTACCTTTTCTTTTTTTAATTCTGTTAAATTTCCTGTTGATGTTAGGGAATGTTCTCTCTTACGACTTGCAGATGACTTGCTGATTAAGGAAATACAAAAGGAGACCTTGTTGGATCACTTGGAGAAAGAACTTACCATAGCCTACGAACATGTAGGGGACACTGTTGATGCTGGAGCATCTCAGCCCACGAGCGGCTCCAGTGAAGAAGAAGAAGATGATTGACTGAGGGGAGTTGGTTTCCCCTGCTTGACATTTTATTTTCCATGCTGATTTACTTTCCGTCTTTCTTATATTTGCTTGCATGTTTTAGATTAATGTTTAATTTCTAGTAGCCATTAGTTTTTCAATTCCTAGGGTAGTTTGCTTTTTGTTTCTTAGCTGCACTTAGTGTAATTCAATGAAAAAAAAGAAAAAAGAAAAAAGAAAAACAAAGTTGAAAAATGAAAGGTTCAATGTAAAATGGTCTGATAATGCATGCTAATTGATTTTAAGCTTTTGCCTTTGTTGTCTGATCTGTGGAAATTTACA